AAATGCGGAAATTCCGTTGTGTTTTCTGAATCACCACATAACGTACGAAATTAACTTATTAATTGTTATAAAAATCGTAATATTTTTATCAGAAATAAATAAACGAATTTTTCTAGCAGTGACTGTCGATAAGAAAATTCAGGAAACTGATGAAAATAATCAATCTAATATTCTAATTCTACTCTTACGAGACGGATAGATCCAATATAAAATAATAATTTAATTACTATTTTATCGTTATTTGATTTGATATCATCTAGATTTTCGTTTAATAGAGTGAATACAGTTTTACATCGACTTTAAGTGTTTCTTTATTTATAGCTATTTTTTTTAAACTTTTAACTACATCCCGCCTAGTTTCTCGGAGTGTCATTCGCTGTTTTATATTTATTTCATGGGTAATAAATCGTACGTTTGATACTATCATAAAAATACAAATGTTAATTTTTTTGTTCATTTGGCCCCACTCGCCCCTACAAAGTTCATTTTTGTTCAAATTCACAAATCTCCCCCGCAAATATCTTCTATTGAAGTTTTCTCGAATAAAAAACATTGCATATGATGTCCAATAATGCTACAAAACGAAAAACTCGAATAGTCATAAGAAGGTTTTTCAATTCTCCGGATGTGATGTATCCGTATTTTTTTATTGGTCCATTCAGATCTGTCGAACTTTCAGACAAAAATTAATTGTTCCACAGCGGATAATATTTAGGATGGTAAGACTAGGATGAGATAGAAATACTTTGAAATGAATAAATCTAATCTAATCTAATTGCAAAGGGGGGTGCTACGTTAATGAATTTAAACATTAATTATCGAGAAAATCAACTTTTAATGCACATACTTATTTTTCTAGCTCTCATCACAATTAGATTTCTTCATTCATGAGAGAAAACCAATTGAAAATATCGAATCACTTTCTTCTCGCAAAAGATATCCTCTCTTACCCATTTTTCAGCAAACTTCAGGGTCATCAAAAAAATGTTTGGATCAGTTTTTTAATTGAGATTCAACCAGCAAAGGCCGGAAAAAATAGAGAAGTCTATGAACTAGTCTCCGAATAAATACACTAAAAAATCTCAAGAATACTTTGTAATTCTGAACAAAACAGAACAGAACAAAATAATTAATAACAATAAGTGATACGACGGGTTAATAATCTTATTTCCGCATTTGAAGGATGAAAATTGTTGAAACTGGAGCATGAGTTGCTTTCATTAGTCCCAAAAATCCGCCATCATTATCTTCAGTTATTCCAGTATAATTCTCTTCACTCGAATCTCAAACAATAGCTTTCACCCTGCGCCGAAATCCTATCCAAGAATTCTAATGTACAAAGGTTTGGATAAAGTTTCCTGAGCGTTTATTGAGGTAGTGGGTATTAGGTACGCGATCGATCTTGTCCGAGTGCACTAGCAACTGGGCCATCCTGTGCTGTGTTTCCCTTTTCTTTCACCACCCTATTTTGCTGCCGGGAAAATCGAGCCTCCAGAAAGGGGATAAATACAGGTCACAGAACGAGGGGTTAATTCGAAATTTGTTGTCCTCGTTTTCAGATCCTTTCAGCGCTTCCACATAAAAAAAATTTCAATGAGATGTTGTGTTTGCACATCAAAATTGTTTCGGTTTTACGTACAATTTCGAAAGTAAATATCCTCTCCGATTTCTCTTCTATTATTACAGCAATCAAGATTATTTTTTTTATTTGATGCATTTAAAACTCTCAGGGTCATACAGTTGTAGTAATTAATAAGAAAATTGTCCACAATTTCAAAGATTTGATAATTATTTGAGTTGACTTTTGATTGCATATTATTTTGATTGTTTGATAATTGTTTTGATATTAATTGATTATTTTTCATTATTTTTTAAGTTGAATGGAATTCTTAAACTTAGAATTTATCCAAATCATTTTATTATTAATTTTAACGGCTGACTGATACACATGAATGCAAAAGCGAAGGAAGAAAACTTAAGAACTGATCTGAAATAATTATTTTGACCCGAGAATTGATCAAGCTTTGAAAATTTTTTTGTCCTGTTTACATGTTTTATTCAATAAAAACTTTTAATGTGGTAGTAACGCTCACTTTACTTTTGTCCCCAGGTTTAGTTTCCAGCTAAAAAGTTTCTTCCTTTTTCTTTTAAGATTTAATTCCAGATGGTACCGTTACCGGATTTCCGTTCCTAGTTTGATTTTGGTTCAATCTATATTTCTGTTTTGGTCCAGAGTTCTGTCCGAAGTTTCTGATCGTCAGAACCTCATCAGAGAATTCCTATTAGTATTTGATCCCGAAGTGATTATAGGATCTCACTTAAATTGCCATAGATCAGAGCAGATTTGCAATGGACCTGTATTAAAGCCTCAAGTGTAGCACATTTCTCTGAACGACCCGAGGTGCAGGACAAATTAACATCCGACACGGTTAAGTTGAAGATCATAAGATTTATACGAGCAGCGTTTAAGCATAACCCCATCACCAACTAGCAGACTCACTACTGTCACGGCGAACACGTGTTTCCAATTACATCAGTGCAGTCTGTGCTAAACTCATGTTCACAATCATCCCCACTCTAACGTTATTCGCGATTTACGAAATCTGGTGTACCTATATGTATGTAATCTCGAGCACGTTCAGTAAAAATGAAAGAATTTGATAGCTTCGTAGAGCCGTAACGTAAGAACGGATGGAGAATTCTTAATGAAGAAATTTGGAATTTTGTGTTGGAATAACCCTCAGGCGGGGCTTCATGACTCTAGGGCATACGATGCAAGTCCTCCATTGGAATTCCGTGAGGTTACCAGGTTCTAATAAAATTAGATAAAGCCTCTGGGTTCTCCAAGCAAACCGCCCTTCTCTATACTTGAAGAAACTCACGTCGGAAATGTTTCGGCTGAAACTTTGAGGATTCGGTAGGATATCTAAACTTTGAAGCGACGTCTATTGTGTTGTACCTTGTTACTTATACATATACGAGGAATGATACGCCACGTACTCAGAGCACGTCTTATTTATGTATTGCAGCACAAAACTGAACTATCCAAGGGAGTCCTTGGCCTCATCGTTGTAGTCTATCTCCGCTCTCCACTTTTATGCATCCTTGTATTTTCAAAATGATGAGATACTTTGCAACAAAATCCTTGCGTTATTGTTTACAAATGTATACATGGGTCTAATAGTCATTGTAAATGTTCTATGCTATACGCTGTTGAAGATTTCGTCATATTTCAATCACAATGGCATCTGAATTTTCATCTAGTCGGGTTTAACAACCCCGAGAATAATTTTCATGGAAAATACCTTGTACTGTTATTCTGGGGGGATCGTTATGTTGAAGGAAATTCAATTAACCGTCAGGTGCAGTCTAATTATTAGTAATAATGCTTCTGGCCTCTGGGGAGCTGTGATTTTACTGTCATTTTCAATTGTTGGAAATGATCACTCGATCGAAAATTTTGTCGTAGGAAAATCTGTAGGGTGAACTAGAAAACTGGAAAAACTGCATTTAATTAAAATGGAAAAGCAGATTATTGGACGAATGGCATTTCGAATTAATTTTCTTTTTTTCCTGACCTCGAATACTGAAGCACTCGAGGTCACAAACTCATTCGACGCGTTAGTGAGTATTTCAGTATGGCAGTAAATCGAATATTAATGGAATAATTTCTGAATTTTGGAATTTTGTAGCTTTTCCATTTTTTTTAATTCCTCAATTTCGATCAGTAGAAACCTATTTCCCCGGTTGTTTAACGTGATCAATCATGTCAATGTCAAACTTCACCCACTGGGTTCTTCCATTTTCCTGCACCGGTTGGAAACACTCGGCAGAATAATCAATATAATGATAATAATAATAATCATATAATATTCACTGAGTAATGATATTATTTCGATTAATGCACCTCGAATAGTTAATTTTCGTAAAAATGAGAATAGTAACTGAAAGAAACCAATGTAATCACTCTAAGATTAAGGCACACTGACCTCAAAATTATCTTTAAATCTATTTTCACTGCGCATGTGTAGTAAGAATTTTATAATTTTCGAGTTTTTTTAAATAGTCTACCTGTAATTTGCAAGATGCGTCCTCCTAATTAGCGGGTAAAAATGATAATTTACAACATAAAAATCGTATGTTACGTTTCCCGAGTCGTAGTATCTGTTTCTTCAACTCGCAATTAACGCGATTAGAAATCACGCAAATTACATTTTAAATCTTATAATTGAGTGTTACTATTCTCCGTGTGCGTTATGCAGAATTTTTATTAATGAATAATAATTAAGCAAAAACGGAGAAAAGTTATGTATGAACTAATCAGAAAAGGTGCATCAATTATTATTGGCTGTCTGCAGCGAATAAATTGATTCACTTAATTGAGTGACAAGTTGCGCAACACCTACATATATGAAAGTAACAAGAGGGACTCATTTCTTGACCGGCGCAACATCTTCTCTAGTGTCGCCCTGTATTCGCTATTATCAGGTAGGTCAAGCCTCAAAGATCTGACTGATGAAACTGTACACGGAGAAAATTATTTAGAAAAATTACTGAACAATTCACGGAACTGGAGACGAGGAATCGTTGCCCGGTAGTTTTAGAAGAATGAAAGAAAATAAATACGAAATTGTCAGTAATTTTTCAAGTTCATCTCTGTAGCAAGTACATCATTGTCACGTAATTGTATTATACCCAAAAAATAACAAATTCATGAAAATTCAATAATTTTAATTCAATTGGCGGACTTTATGCGTTCCTAAAATTTCTCAATCATTCGGTAAAAGCGATGGAGCGACTTGTTAAGAGAGGGGTAAGTCATCAGACTAGTGCGTAATTTTTATGGACGAGATGATAAAATTCAGGAGATAGTTGTAAAATTTCTCTTCCAACTCAAACTTTTTATTGAACTTCACATCGCTTGCGAGTGACAGTTCGAAACGCTGTTAGATTTTTTTTCTGTTATTTTTATTGAATTTTAATCTCTGTAGAGCAATGAACAATCCGGAAAAGTATCTAGCATCAATGTGGCTTCAATACCGCGATGCGGTTGAGATACTTGAAGAATTTGATGATAAGTTCAAATCAATGAAGGGTAAGATTGTTGACATTGGCTGTGGCCCTGGAAAGGTGTCAAAAGATCTGCTGTTGCCGAAAATTGGAGAGAACGCGTCTGTTATTGGTGAGGATTATCAACAAAATAATAATTTTTGTTCTGCCATTATTCATTTTGCGTTGTAACAAAGCCGAAAGCGGAAGTTATCTCTGTTAAATGACAGGAAACTTTCTGGCCTTCCGGACGGATGTCTTTTTTCGAGATCAAACGCACATCATTCTCACAACGGTTAAGGGTTGAAACAATTTTTCTACTCTAGGTATCGATATATCTCCAGCGATGCTAAAATATGCAAAGGTCTATTGCGCTAATGAGGAGAGAATAACTTTCACTCAATTAAATATTGAAACACCTGATCTACCGGACAATTTGATTGGGCAGTTTGATCACGCAACAGCCTTCTACTGTCTCAATTGGTGCAGAAATATGAAAGTAACAATGGAAAACATCTATAATCTCCTCAAACCTGGCGGAAGGACAATTGCTCTGTTGAATTTACATCACAACATCTTCGATTTCTACCTAGAACAGCAGAGGGATCCATCGTTCTCAGTTTATATGAAGGTAAATGAAATTTAAAAGTTTGAAAAGTCGTTTTAAAACTATCAATTTTGAAGGATGCGTTGAAATATATCCCCCCGCACTACGGATGTGGTAATCCTGAGAAGAAATTCCGGGCCCAATTGGAAGGTGCTGGATTCAACGTACTACATTGTTCTGCAAGATCTAAGGTTTTCACATTCCAAACCATGGACCATCAGCTTGGTAATTAATCCAATTTGGAAGTCTTGTTACATTAATCATAAATTACAAATTAGTAACTTTGAGAGTAGCAATGCACAAGTGAAATCATTACTGTCCCAATTGTTTGGAACTTGCGGTGAAATATTAGTATTCAAAGCCTAATCATCTTCCATTTCGCTTTTTGTAATTACCCTACACATTTACCCTTATCAACAATTATTATACAACAAATGTAAATACTTGGCTGAAGGCCCTCGGGCAATGGCCAGCTGCAAGTTCTTGGAAGAACTTGCAACGAATTCCGTTAAAAATAAATAAATATTAGTATTCAGTACATTTAGAAATTGATGCAAGTGAAAACCGTCGCTACTGGCGAAAAGTAATATTTTTTTTTCATGTAACAGTGAATGTAATAATAGAAGTTGGAAAAGTTTAAAGTCTCGTTTAATTGCAGATTTTCTGTGGGCTGTGAACCCATTCTTGGATCGAATGCCAGAAGACGTGAAGAAGCGCTACCGAAAAGACGTCGAGAAAAGACTTAGAAAGAAACTTCAACGAATTACTAATGAGAATTCAGATGGATACGTCAATATCGATGATTACTACGCAATACTGGTTGCGGTATTTGAAAAGCCGCAGGTAGAACGAAGTGTTGACTCGGATGCACATATTTGATACATTTCTCAGAGATCACCTTCCACGTAATATTTTATGTACAATATTATATATTTATATATGTAACATAAAAAAGAATCAAGATTTCGGTCTGGTAAAATAATAGGAGGAGACGTATATGAAAAAGACCAGCGTATTACATTCATGAATAAATTTATTGCATATTAAAAAATATTGTGTGGAATATTCTCTTATTTGATAGGACTTCAATATTTCATTAAAGCAGAAATAATCTTTTTTTAATAAAATTTCTATGATTTCAAATTTATCTTTTCGTGGTTATTCTAAATCATAGATAGAAAACGTTAAACATTAAATGTGAGATTTCAAACATCATTTACGGGATTTATGATCCAATCAGAAAACTCGTGAATCGCGTTGTAAATCTCGCAGTTTGATGGTATCTGCGAAGGTTTCTAAATTTCCAAGATTTGTTAAATTTTCAACAATTTTAAGTTTTCTAAATGTTTTTGGGAAACAATATTCAAATGACTTATAATATCCTGAAAATTGGAGATTTGATATCGAAAAATGTTTTTTTTTTAATTCATCGCTGCAATTATGATCTCAATCTCAGATTTTATCAGATCGAGATATCATAAATGACGTGAGGCGTATAAATTGCGATCTAAAACTCGTAGTTTACGGAATAAAAAATGATAATTTACGTTTTTTAAATCGTAATTTACGCAATAGAAACTCATAATTTATGGGATGGGTATTCGTAATTTACGAGTTTGGAACCATAATTTACGAGATTGGAATAATCTACACTTCCAGAGTTGTAATTGACGTTTTTATAACTCGTACTTTACATTTCCAAACTCGTATTACATGGCCGGCATTTTCAGCGTACAATCTCCCATTTTTTGTTACATCTTATTCATTTAAATTTCCAGTAATTTCCATTGTTTTTTATGAACTTTTTTACTGAATTTCATTAGCCAGTCGCAATGTAAGTAGTCTTCTTAGAATGCAAGAGTATAATAACAATGTCTGCGCACATAAATAACGGAATAATATAAATTGATTAATCATGAAAATTAGAGCCTACATATTCATTACAATATCGTTAGTACGCTCATTAAAAATTGCAAATAAAATTAGTTATTCGTTTTCCTCCTCATTTCACAAATTCATCCCCTTGTCTAAACCGACATATATCCGGAGGAATATTTCATACCGTAACATAAATTTTATCTTTTTAACCTAAAATACATGAAAATTTGTGATCAATTTTGTGTTGCAGGAAACACTTGAATAGACATGAAAAAATAATTAAAAAAAAGAAGAAAAATTATTGAAGGGCGCTAAAGATCGATATTATTTAAAAGGGATTTACCATGTTTGCTAAAAAATAATAAAAAATACGTAGCTTACTATTGCATCTATCTGTCATGTAATTTTCTGGAGAGCAATTGTAAGCTGCGTAATTTCTATTATTTTTTTGTATACTTGGTAGATCCCTTTTAAACAATATTGCTCATTAGCGCCCTTCAATAATTTTTCCTCTTTTTTTTCATTATTTTTTTATAACCATTCGAGTAGCTCCCGCAACACATATTTGATCCCAAATTTTAATGTATTTTAGGCTAAAAAGATAAAATTTAAACAAAACCAAATATCCGTGATCCAAGTATATATTTTTTCCCGCACATTCAAAAATGTTTATAAATATCCGATATATCATCGTCCCTGGTATACCCCTGGCATTACAATTGAACAAAAATTCCGTCTGCAAAGCCCGGAACCCGTCGTATCCGAAAACCCAACTTTTAACAGCCAACTGGTCAAACTTCTGAGCCTTTTCATTGTCACCCGAGACTTACCGTTGAATTAACAACTTTTTCCATGAATAACTACAGCCAGTGCCAAGAGACTTTTACATTTTTTCTTTTGAATATCCTATTCAATATTGCAACTTTTTTTTTCAGCTTCACGCTGTTCCATGAGAAATTTCAGCATCAAAATTCTATTACACCGCTGAGTTTAATAAAAATATGGTTACATCAAGTTTTATCGTTATCCTGTCCAGGTTGCCATGAACATAAAAGGATCATTAAAATTGTTACAACATATTGTGGCTTAATGTTCAATGATGACCCACCTGAAGCTATAGTGGACTTTAGAATTACATGAAAACTTGTGTAGGTGTGAATCCAATGGAACTAACAGTGTCATTAACTTTTTAGTACCATTACAAGTTATCGAGTACTCCAGAATAATCTGAAAAGCTTGCCTCATCGCATATTCTAGGACCTTTCGCAACATCTCCGATGGATTGGTTCATAAATTTAATTACCGATCAAAATATATTTCATGTAAACATATGAAATTGATTTTCATACGATTTAGTTACCTACTATGAATGAAGGGGAAAATACAAAAACGTTGAAATTTCTCAGTGCAGTCAACATTGAAAAAATTTTTGAAACATGTCTAAATTGTCGAATTTGAAAACGGTTGCAAAATGGTAATACTATAATTTGGACTGTGAGGCCTAGACGAATCCTAGCCTCTCACACGAAGAGAAATATGCAATTAAAATACCGAGTCCTTGCCATAATTCTGGAACTGTCACTGTCACTGAACTGTCAATTTTTGTGTAAAGTAACGGAATTTTTCTGCAGTATTCTGTAATTTTTATCTGAATTTTCTGTCAAAAGTTACGATACCGTCATTTAAATTTTGCAAGTCGTTTCCGTAATCGGTCTTTTCCATGGATTCCGTTTTTCGATGCCCACGTATGTCTCACATTCTATCACGTCAATAATTTCACCCGCCAGGACTGCATTCAGGGTGGATGCGCGGTTAAAGCGCTTTTATATGTAACCTTAATTTTAGAGCCGGCCATTTAGTTTCCGCTTGGTTTAAGAGCATGACATCTTATATTATAATAAATAAAGAAACCTCCATTCCCCAGCGTTGTAAATAACATGTGAGTAGAGTTGAAACACGGAGCTAAGTGGTCATGAGAATTGGCTCGTTCAATGATAGATCGTGGCCAACGTGTTTCCATCCAATAATTTATTAAAAAGAGAAATATGTGATAGCAATAAAAAAAATATTAAAAATATTATGCTTGTTTTTGCTTCGTATTTTTATTCATTTTTAATTACAAATATTGTATAGACTCTAACAATCCCGTATTAATTCAAGTTATTTCTATTTATCTTACCAACATCATTTATATATTTTTACTTTCAGCGAAGTTTGTTGCAAGTTCGAGAACTGGTCATCGCCCGAAGGCCTTCAGTCAGGTATTTACGATTTAGTATACAAGGATTTCAGATGGGGTGTTTATCTTTTAAATGTTTCGCAGTAAAGAAGGGTGGTAGAGATTAGGAATCAAAAATGAGGTTTCACAGTGTAAGGTATGAGATGAGAATGGTACAATATGGGGCCATTTACCGTCAAAAGAGACGATAGAGTGTCTACCGTTTTATTTAGGGGATATGCTAGACCACCCCGAGAGTTAGAGGCGAATGTTTGGGTTCTAATGTTTTGGAGATACTCGAGTAAGGTGTAGGGGGGATACTTGCAACGCAGTCTTATGTGTGGGATGTGCTTCTGGTAGAGATCGAGAATATGATTCAGTTTGTTAAGAACGAAATTTTGTTTCTGTTTTTAATATTCCGGCCCTTTCTGTCTTTTTTGACTAACTGGCCCTATCTCACCTTATGCATGCAGCTGTGGATCCTACACTGTGCCGTATTCATTCTCTTCTGGAACGTAGGAGTGACATGGGAAACCACAGGAAAAACCATGTCGGCATAGGCGGTTGCTCTATTAGCAACCTCCCGCTCATCGGTGCTTGTTGAAAAATTCGATTCAACGCAGGATCGAACTCACAACCAAAGAGGATTGAATAAAATAGAGGCGAAGTTCTGGAGGTATGAGTGACCCCACCGACATCGTGAGACTTCACCCCGAGAGAGAGGGGGGCCAAACGCAGTGGTGGGATGTTTGCCCGTCAGGTGACTTGGTAACTGCGTCAGTATACTGAATATTATGGTGAATATTGTCCGAGGAGTAACCTCGGCCGTAACCCCCACTCTCCGAAATCCCCACTTGTGGCCGTGTTCCCCACCAGTCGAGCCGAACAAAACCGAAGTTACTTCTTTGGTAATATTGGTAATATTGGTAATATTCAGTATACCACAGAAGTAACTTCGGTTTAGTTCGGCTCGACTGGTGGGGAACAGTCGGGGAACTGGGGGGGAAAGAGGATTGAATAAAATAGAGGCGCAGTTCTGGGGGTTTGAGTGACCCCACCGGCATCATGGTACTTCACCCCTAGAGAGAGGGGGGGCCAAA